CACTCAAGGAGGCCATAACAACTGGATTGAAAAATACAGTTTGTCTTTTAGCTATGACAACATTAGCTGGTTTAATCACACGGCCCACGGCATACCTATGGTGAGGAGTTGTCAATAACTAGGAACTTCTATCTCATGTTACAAGTGAAAGTTATTTACCCTAGTCAGTACGAAAAGTCTGGGTGGCTACATTTGTATCACAATTTTTAACTGCCTAGGAAAGCAGCATACTTTAATATTGTGTCTTAGAGAACTTAATAATAATAATAATAATAATAATAATAATAATAATAATAATAATAATAATAATAATAATAATAACAATAGTAATAATAATCATAATCATAATCATAATCATAATAATCATAATAAAAGCATAACCCAGATGGTCCAGGTTGAATTTCTGACATTTCAGAATCAAGTGATGAACAAGCGAGCAAATGCAAATAATAATAATAAAAGATTCCCACTATCTCCTATAACTGATTTCAGCTTGCGTGTGGAGTGTTTTCCCAGAATTGCTTGTGTACAGCCCCTTCCCATCAAATAAAACCGAGGAGAGGGGTTTGCAAACGTGCATTCGATACATGATCCAAAATTATTTAATGCTGTGGATAACGAATTCCATCTTCCAAAAGGCAAGGGGGTTGATCATTCCTCACAGTGTCTTCACTAGTTTGCTTGTTGATTCTAAACGGAAGGTAAATATATGATTTTTTTTCCAGATTTTTTCTGGAAACAGTGACGATTCATCGATTGTGTGGAATAATCTCACACGTCCTTTGACTGCGCGTGTTTTGCGTATTCACCCTTTGGTAGTAGATAAAGCCATCTCAACCTGTGTCCGACTGGAGGTGTATGGATGTGAGCCATACCAAGGTATGCAAGCCTATAATTATTAGAGTTCTAGTTCAGCGCTTTTGATACAAATTTCTTTGCTAACCTTCTTTTGATACTTTCAGGAACGTTTGTTAAGTAGCTATTAGCACAGACCTTGTATTTACCATGTTTGACTACTGCATGGTACATGAATTATTTACTTAATCCTCACTAATGCAGAAGATTTTTTGTAACCTCCTTGCAATTGAAAATTTCGAAAAAGTCCTTGAAGACTTTATTATTGGTGCTAAAAATTGAATTCGTAGTAGCGTATCAGTATGCAGTATTCAGGTACAGATTTTTCTTCTTCTCGCAGAAAAGTTAACAGTTCCTTATCTACTTTAAAAGACCAACTGTATGTGTTTTACGCCCAGTTTCCTGTCTTTCCTCTTACGTCCATTTTGTAGCACGGTGTCATAGATAACGTACCACAACTATAGTTATCATCTTAATCTATTTAATTTTCAGTGATTTAATAAATTTATTTACATTTGAAATGACAGACTGTAAAAAGCCAGTTGGTGTGGAGGATGGGACGATCACCAATCAGCAGATGACCGCATCATCTTCATATGAGCAATTTGACGCCTCTAATGGTCGCCTTAATAATAAACGTAGAATAGACAGCACCGGCAAGTTGGTTTGGGACGGATGGTGCACCGATAAATTGGATTTACATCAGTTCCTACAGGTAATCATGGTAAAGAATTATCCTCTGTCTTTTCAGTTTTCGTTAAGACTTATTTCAAAGACAAATGGACTAGTATTCTGCTATTGTGAATAACTTATGAATGATAGGTTCAGCGTGTGGCAGGAGATCCATCCATTGAAGTTGCTTATAAAATATATCATTTGATCGTGTTCGTCAGAACGCATCCTAATCTTGGTGTTCTTGTGGTAAAAGCCACAAATTTTCGAGGTGCATGTATCGGGGGCGACAGGCGATTAGCCGCCCCCACTGATTTTATAAGGGGCATCTTGGCCGGGAAACTAGACTCCTTTCGACTCGATTTCGTTACCGTTAGTGACGAACGCGGATCGGTAATCAATGATTACCAAGAGAGGATAAAGGGGATAGAGAAGACATCCCCCATACACACCCTATTCCATAGGTAATTCGTCTCGAGTTATTTTTAAGACCACAGATCCCAAGGGGAATTAGACAACAGCTAATCACATAGCGCGAATGTGTTCCACGTGGATGACCCACGCTCAGAGCCACGCGTCCTTCACGAATTGACGCAGAACAAAATGGCGGAAGACGCGGAGAGCGATATTGCTATTCGTTTTGTCGACGAAAACGACTACAGAGAGATTTCTTATAAAGCTGTGTCAGCGAAAAGGAAATTAAAAAAGCATGATTGCTCTTCCTCTCTTGTATATAGCTAACAGTACAGCAGGGAAATCCCTAACACACTGAATATTTTCTTAAGATCATTTATAATTTACAGTTTGAAGAGAGCAATTTCTGGTTTGATATTTATTCTTTTATTAGATTTTTATTATTCAACAAAAATAACGCTTGGCGTCCTACTTGCTTTATTGTACAAACGACCGGTTTCAATAGACCGGCGAAATTTCTCATTTTATTAAAGCACTGAGGTTACGACAACTTGGAGTTAAACTGATTTCACGGGTTGTCAGAGTCTAGCGATTCCTTTTTCCCAGGTGAGCGCCGATTCATTTCGCGTCAATATTCAGAAATGCTCTCGATCTCTTAACGCTTTCATTGCCTTTCGCCCGACATGTTTTGCTCGGCTTTTAGTCATGCGAAACCTCCACGAATCATCCACGCAGCGCGCGAGGTAACTTTATCCCGATTCTAAAAATAATTCGAGACGAATTACCTATGGAATAGGGTGTGTATGGGGGATATGGGGGATGCCTTCTCTGTCCCCTTTATCCTCTCTTGATGATTACCTCTAGTTTTATGATAGAGTCTTTTTAGACTCACTTTCAACAGGAAGGAAAGACTCTGTCATTCATATTGTTTTGGTGAAGTGCGCTTGCGCATTCGCTGCTAGCTAACTTCTGGTGATCCGCAACAAAATACCAATCACCGGCGATCTTACCTTTTGAAGCTACTTGAGAAGGTGATCGACTGATGATCAGTGTTTACGTGCATCGTATGTGATATAGGCATAAGCGTGAAAAGCCTAAGAATGTACACGCCCAAAGGGTAACTGAATCCTACATATGTGCAATCTATGAAGACTACCAGTATAAAGTGACCCAGTTCGTTACCTGCAATGTTTGCATTACAAAAAAAACTCAAAATATTATTTACGTTTTTTTAAAAATAACTAAGAAGAAATCAAAGTGGCTGCCTTTTATTTACCTTGTGTATAATTTGGTGAATTTGTGTCATGAAAATCCTTCAATTTCCGAGCCGTTAGATTTCCTTTGTGTATGCCCCATATATTTTTTTTTACATTCGTCACGCAATATGCATTGTTAGGACGTACGCCTTAAGATAAAATGTTGTAAACAAATTAAAGAATTATTGAAATCGGCTTTCGCATGGATATGAGGAATTATGTGGACCTTGGAGGCTGTTATCCACCGAGGCCAATTCCTTACATAGTAAAAAATGTGAGATGCGTGGCATATGCAAAATCCAATCCCTATGTTCCATTAACGCTAAGGCACAACTTTCGTTCGACTAATGAGCTATCCCTAGTCATGTGTGGGTAATCTGTAGGGAATTATCTTATATTAACAGTGACATCTTCATCACCCTTATCCACGGTACAATACCGTAATGGATGCCTTTAATGAGAGTATAAGCAGAACTGGCAATGTTTTTGGTTCTTTTTTTGTTCAGGTTGATCTTGGTTGGGTGCGGTCCGTCTCTGGTGTAGCTACTCAAGGTCTAGACGACATGGATGGCAATTTTGTTTCTCAGTATAAACTGAACTTCAGTACAGACGGATCGGTATGGAAGTCCTACATGGAACGACCTAGCATCGGGAGCAAGGTATATTGATCTGGAATTATTTTTATGGAAATAAAATACAAAATTTTAGGGTACATTCTGATTAACGAGGCATCAAACGGTCATTTGGCCCGACCATAGATTGGGCAATACTATGGCATGCAAGCACGATTTTGTCAGAGTATCCTCAAAATGAATAACAGAGAAATTTGGTTTATGACATAGACGTTGCCTAAGTGTAAGTAGCCCTGGTTTGCTCTACTATAAACAAGTCTATACGGTAGTAAGACGTGAACGTGATCATAATTGAAATTAGCCTGTGTCCACAGTTGATGACTGGGCATGATGCCCAAATACAGTACTGTCTGGTCACTAATCTGAACACACCCTTTTTGCAACTACCCAAGTAAAAATTCAGGCACGGTACCGGTGCCCGAGTACAGGGTCAGAACTTGAGTTCTTTTGTTTCAATGTGGGTACCAGCTCCCTGTTGCATACTTTTCCTGGCAATTCCGAGGATATCCACTACTTTGAATACCCGAGACGACTGCTTTGCTCATGTTTCAAAATGGCGTCTGTCAGTGCGAAAAGGAAGAAATTTATACAGTCGGTTATATAATATATAGATTTAACCAAAGCTAAAGCGAAGCTCTCGTTTATGCATTTAAATTTACTCCGTCAATCAATAAATCATTCCAAAGAAATCCACAAAGCTAGACTTAACTTTAGAGGAGGCATATGACTGAAAAACATAAACTTGAGCCTGCGATCAATTAAAAGCTAATAACTGCTCAATGGAAAACTTCAAAAAACTTCAGTTTGCATCAGAGCCCGCGATACCGTCAATCTGACACTGGTCAGCGGACAGCTGTCAATTGACTATAATATGGATGTCTATTATCAAGTTAAACACAGGTTACAGGCTCCACACTAGCAAGAAAGTTTGACATTTTACATTAGTTTCCCTGTGGTTCGGACGTGCGGGCGTTTGGTCACGTGATTACCAAAAATGTCTCGGATGGATATATTACCAAATTTTCTTAAGCATGGAGCTCCGCTTTAAGTTCTACATAAGTTGTGAACACAATAACATCTTGTGCCGATACCCAGGCATCAAGGGTAAACAGATCCTTATTAGGTGCTTTAGGTAAAATTAATTTTTTTTCTTTTGCTTTTTAAATTGTGCATGTGTTTTTCTGCCTTTCAGGTGTTTCAAGGAAATTGGGATAAGGACACCATAGTAACTCAAATACTATCTCGGAAAATATTTGCGCGTTTTATTCGGTTTAACCCAGTATCGTGGGAAATTAATGGATATATCTGCTTGCGAGTGGAGATTTACGAATGTTTCCCTGTGAAAGGTAAGAAATTTGACTTACAGCTATTACTACTAATACATTCCTGAATACCTTAAGAAAAAAATTGTACTACGATTAAACTAGGGATAGCAGAGAAGGTGGACAAACCCTTTGGACGATGGGTAGTTACTTTAATCTCACTACTCCTTTCTAAAAATCTTACAACCACCACTGGATATAAAAAATCTCAAAAATGGCCCGGTCCTTAGAATTCCACACGTACCCCTCCCTGTGTGCATTGGTCGGGCGATTTAAGATATAAAATCACGGCAGATGACGTTTTGCACTATAACAGATAATAGTGCCTACCAATTGCTACAAGCGGTACCATCTTAGATCAATTCTAGTCGTTCAAGTTTTTTGAAGTCTACATTTCTCACGACTTGCTCTGGGCTACGCGCTTTCATAGTAATAAAAAAAAATTCATCCGGAGGCTCTAAAGGCCCTTAAGGCCCTGGAGTTCGATAGAGTGGGAGTACACCCATTGCTACGATTAGGATACGCTATTGGCATTTTACCGATTAAAGATAAGAAGTAATTCCTAGAGCTGGCAACAACCGCTCTCCATCCACCCCTCCTCCCCCCCCCCCCCCCCCCCCAAAAAACGAAAGAAAAAAAAACAAAAAAAAAGGAAAAAAAAAAAAAAAAAAAAAAAAAAAAAAAAAATAAAACCAAAAAAAAAGGTAAGAAACAAGAAAAAAAAAAAAAAAAACAAAAAAAAAGTAAAAAAAATAAATTTAATATCAATTCTATGATATTAAAAAAGGTAAAAAAAGGAAACACATCCATGGAGGAAAAAAAAATGAAAGAGGGGGCACAAACCCATTGGTAGAATTAGAGTACGCCATTGGCCTTTTACCAGTTAAAGAGAAGAAGTAATTCCTAAGCCGGGCAACACCCCCTCCCCCCCCCCCCCCCCCCCCCCCCCCCCCCCCCCCCCCAAAAAATGGATAGATAAATAGATAAATAAATGGATAAATAAAATAAAAAATAAAATGCAAAACGAACTTAAAGCCTTAAAGTAGGTTAGGATCCATGAAAGATAAAATCTAACACGAGAAAAATGTAACTGAATTAATTTTAATGTCATTTCTATGATCTAAAATAGGGTAGACGATGGAAACCTCTCGGTGATGTAAATGCGTTATTTGCAACTTGTACATGTGGATAAAATCACAAATTTTAGAGATGTTAGCAACAAAGAACATAAAGTGAGAGTCCCAGGGACGATCAATTCTGTCCTGTTTAGGGTAGAGTTCTTACAGAAGGACAATTAGTTCAACTCTGTACCTCTGGCTTCTTTCAGCCTTCTCCTGTCTAACTGGAGTTAATAAATAAAAGGTAACGTGGGAAGAATGAAACTTTACTTTACTTTACTTATTTTCTCGTAGGAAGCGTACCACTCGTAAGTCCACCATGCGAAACATTGGAGATGAACCGAACAAGCTCCGTGAACTTGACTTGTATTGTGTCTGGCCAGCCTGGATTCCACATGAATTGGTACAAGAACAGAGTTGTGATACCCTCGCCGCCTCTTCCACCATACGTCAATGGTAGCGTCAAAAGTGTGTTAACTCTAAACCGAGTCAAGTACAAGGATAGGGGATCCATTATATCCTGCACGGCCTGGTATCCAACACTATCCATCAACTCTACGCGCCATATTCACCTTCTTGTTCATGGTAATAGTTAATTTCATTACTGCTTTCTTGCAATAAAGTTACTTCTTAATTAATAAGGAAGGGACGACTTTATTGTGAACGATTATAGTTTCTCGCAAATAATTGTGTCCCAAGAAAGCGATGACTTTTTTACGCAAGGTTGAATTTTCTCGCAATATAATTGCTTGGTGATGCGCACATGATTCGAATGAAGTCCAGTACAAGAATTGTACCCTTAGTGGGTGTGATAAGGAAGGATAAAATGGTGGGAAAAATTTAGGGAATTACATTCAAGTTCAGCATGACAAGAAAGCTAGTAATTAAGGCATATGGCGATATTAAATATACAGAACAATAACTTACCCCAGGGGCCCCCAGCGTAAGACGTTTGACGTAGATTACAAAATTTCGCATGCCTGTTTCAACTGGCTTTCCCGCCATTTGATAATAAAATAAATATGCTGGAGCCTGCTGACACTAGCAGAGTTGCATGTAATCACACCCTGGGCACTTGTATGTTCGGAAGACATGGAACAATCCAAGTGGTGATTTAGAGCAGCGGTATCGAACAGACTAGATCAGGAGTAAATAAAGTATGGAGACTCCCGCATTCTGATTGGCTGATTTATTCACAGTCACAGTAATAGCCGGTGGACTGAGACAATCAGAAGCGTGATCAGAAAACCAGAAAGTCTTCCAATATTCTTGTCGTTTTCTTGGTTGCCTCATTTCTTCAAGCTGTTTTCTATCTTTTACTCCGTTACTTCTTTTTAAATCACCACTAGTCATTTATCAACGACGTACGTCAATCGGAAATGAGTCCATCTCGCTGTTAGTATGCCTTGACCTTACCACATTTGCATTACTAATTGTTTTCACTCTTCTAGAAACCATTGGCCGAAAACTGTAGCAAAACCACTGTTTAAGAATACAAAATGTTTGCTTACGGCTGACTTGCAAAAACGTCTTTGCTGAAGCACCCTAATGTCCCACAATATGACCGTGCCATAACTGTGTAGGGTGTTCATGAAAGGCGGTTTATCTCTACCGTAAAATCTCATCGTGCAGAGCCTGACTGATGTAGATGAGTATTTCTGATTCTGTTTCCAGCTCCACGGCTTGTCATACGTATCTCTGAGGTTCAAGCCAGGCAAGTACAACTGCATATCACGGACCCGACATCTGCCCACACTGCAAAGTACTTGGTACGTTACAAAACAAACGCTGAACGTTCTAAATGGATGTTGGATGAACACAGTAAGGTCACACAAGGTGGCCACACTCTGATAACGGTACAAGACCTGCATCCTTACACAGCGTATGTCATGGAAGTTGCTTCTTATTATAAAGATCAAGACCAGGGTCCTTACAGTTTTCCTCAAAGTGTCATCACAAAACAAGCGGGTAATTGAACTATACAACTTTATAAGTTATATTCTGTAAAAAATAGTTCCTTGAAAGTGTTATTATACATGTACATGTACTTGACCTTTCTCTATTGCTTGCCAGTGGATGATTTTGTATAGTTATAAGGTCTCTGCCTGCCAATTTATGATACAAGATGTCATAATTAATCTGTTGGGCATAGAAAGGGAAGGAAAAGAAAAAACAAACAAACAAACATAAGAAAAAGAAATTTATGAAAGCATCAATAAACATAAACTCCCAAAGGCGTAAAAATATTATATTCTCTCATTGATTTGACAATTTTTAACTCATAAAATAACATGCTAAGCTCTTTCTGATTCTACACAAAAAGTGATTTTGCTAAAGCCCCCTACCGACTTTTTCGAAGCGTAGGTTAAGTTATGGCCATTCTTTGGAAGAACTAACATAAACCGTATGGTTATAAAATTCCGAGAGAAATGAACATTGTTTTAAATTGAACTCAACAACTGTCATTTGGTTAAAGAAATAAAAAGAATTTAACGGCTGACAAAACTCGGTTTCTATGGTAACAACAATGCACACATCACAAAGATATGAAATTTCGCAAAGTTTGGCTGCCATATGTTCAGCGGTTTTAAAGTTAAGATACTATAAAGTTGAGGGCCCGGGTGGGGTGGCGTCAAAAGCTTCCCCGGTCTGAATAGGTTTTTATTGCAGTTTTTTTTTCGTAGTACCGAGCGGTCCTCCTCGAGATGTATTGGTACTTCCCCGTGGTAAAGACACCATCAGAGTGTCATGGTCCATTCCTAGCTCTGGAGACTGTAACGGTGTAATCATTCAGTACGAAATCATCTTATACAAACAAAATGGCGTCACACAAACGTATCCGACTAAAGGAGAGACTTTGTATAAAGACATCGGTGGACTGGAACCTAATCAGCAGTATTTCATAGGAGTGCGTGCTTACACTAGGGTGGGAGCTGGGCCCTACAGCCGAAATCTCAGTCACTCAACAGGTAAAATCTTTAAGATATGTATCATAAATCAGTAACTGTGCAAAGTTTAGTGGGGAAATTAAAGGGGGCGCATGATTGAATTCTCCCTCGAAACGTGTCTGATGTTCTTTTATCATCTTAGAAATCAGTGGAGAATCACAACTGACAGTCGCTTTGGAGAAACTCAACAAGGTAAATGTTACACAAAACATCACTTGTTTAATTTCTACACGGCCTAAGATCCACGGCTAATGAGTGAAATGCAAATGAGTGAAATTTTTCCCTTTTTTTCTCCTGCTCTACCAAAACAACTAAGCTAAGGCAACCTTTTCCTTACGGCTTTTTAGTTACACTCCTTTTCTGGCGTTAGTTTGGCTATATCGCAAACGTCTCCCAAATTTGTTGTTGATGAAGAATCAAACCGGATTATCCGTCTGGGATGAAGTTGGACAAGAGTTTGATTACGTCGTTAGTCGCAGTTCTTCTAGTGAAAAGAGGGCACGAAATGCACTATGCCCCTGGTCTAGATGTCTTTTTCAGTTTCGTCTTAAGCTACGGGCACGTAACAAAAGATATTTTGATTCGACTGGCAAATGATTAATTGTGTCCATATAATAACTAGCAATAGGTCGCATGCGAAGTCTTCTGAAGAGAAGAAACACGGTATAGTAACTAAAATTGAAGTAGCAACTCTCTATTTTCAGGTTTCAGTAACACCCACTACCGTATTCGACGTTATAAAGGAAGTAAGAAACATCACCTCCAAGTCGTCTAAATTAGTACAAAAGGACCTGTCAATCACAGTCAACATCCTGGACAAGGTAGTTAAGACAAACGTCACTTCCCCTGATGTGGGAGATCACATGTTGGGCACCTTAAGCCACGTAATGGACGCGAAACCCGAACCACTACAGAATATACAGCAGGAAAACAACAGATCTGCTCGGTAAGCTATACCACACTTTTCTTTCTTTCTCCGAACAAACACTGACAAACACTTAGTTAGTTGCACATATAATCACATTTAGATACAAAGGGAACCCAATAGTAAAGTCTTGAAATTAATTGAATGCATATCTGAAGGCATCGACGCATCTGTTCTTTTTTAAGTTTGTCTTTTGCAATGAAAGAAATAGCTTAATAGCCTGACTTGTCCCCAGGCGTCCTATCCTTGCTATTACGCGTATTACACGGGTGTGCCTGCATAATCATTGCACACTACATAGTGAAGCGTCGCTTTCTGTTTTCCGCGCAATGGTGGAACCTGGAAAAAGTAGACGAGTAGTTGGCCTTTTTATTGTCGGTGTTTTGTAGATTATCTTTTCTCTCGTAATTATTCTTTTATTGTGATTTTAGGTTTGTTCGGATCCTCGAGGATTACATTGACAAGGGAGGAAAATTCAGCGAGGATACATCCAACATCGCAGTTATTACACAACCGATAAATCAGGAAAACAACAACCTTGACGTTTCCATTAAGACTACAGTGGATAAAATTGTTATGAACTTGAGTGCAAATTCAACCGATGAAAATAGTGAAGCTAGTATAACCGTGCGCAATTCAGTGTTAAACGCAAACGGCACAGACAATTCTACATTAATAGTTGTTTACTATCGAACTAGCAAGCTTTTTGCACCTGATTATCGGAGTACGGAAGTTTGTAAGGGAAGTTACACTGCGCAAAAGTTGAACATGGAAGAACGACCGAAGACTTCAAGTTACACGATGGAGAACTCTACAGGAAGCAGAGTGACTGAGAGTAGCCCTGTGTTATCTGCAAGTCTGAGAAACAAGCGCGTGGCAAACCTCACCCCACCCTTAATCATCAAGTTTAAAATGCCTCATGACCAGGTATGGCCGTTCAATGCATGTGATTGATATAAGTGACTTTCCTGTTTCCTGTGGTTCCTTTGTATTCAAAGTCATTTCCAATTAATTTTTATCAAAATTGGAAAATAGCGATTGATGTCGTGTTTGATTTAATTTGTTTTTCTTTTGAATTGTTTAAGTGAATCAGTTGTCGAAAGGATGAAGGAATGAGAGGGCTGTTGAAAAAACAAAAACAAAAACAAAGACAAAACTCGTTTTCTCGTTAAGTCATGGCCTGTCGCAGTCTGTTTCTTTCTAGTCTATGGCTCTTTCAAAAAAAGTTTTTATAGGCGGAAAAGCGCTATAGAAGTGAAAAAGTGCAGAATTTTGTAATGTCACGTTAACGCGGTGTGAAATCAGAGGATTATTTCCCGTAGTATAAGTGTATGATATATTTGCGAAAAAAAGGGCCGAAAAAAAAATAACAGGGGCGGATCTAGGGGGGGGGTGCAGATGGGGGGGGAACCCCCCCCCCCCCTGAGATGACCTGCGGTTTTTTAATGCAACTGGTATTCTGCAAAACAAAACAAAAAACTATGTGGTTTATTAGTGTTGAAGTAGAGCAAGAGACGAGTGCACCCCTTCCTACAAAAAATCCTGGATCCGCCCCTGAATAATTATACCAAAGAATCAAGAGACTATAAAGGGGACAGAGAGGCCATCCCCCATATACACCCTATTCCATAGGTAATTCGTCTCGAGTTATTTTTAGAATCGGGATAAGGTTACCTCGCGCGAGGCGTGGATGTTTCGTGGAGGTTTCGCATGACCAAACGCCGTGCAAAACATGTCGGGCGAGGGGCAATGAAAGCGTAAAACGATCGAGAACATTCCTGAATATTGAAGCGAAATGAGTCGGCGCTCACCTGGGAAAAACGAATCGCTGGACTCTTTGACAACCCGTGAAATCAGTTTAACTCGAAGTTGTCGTAACCTCAGTGCTTTAATAAAATGAGAAATTTCGCCGGTCTATTGAAACCGGTCGTTTGTACAATTTAGGGAGTTTAAGATCCAACGACGCGGACGACAACTAGAACATCAAAAAAACAATAGGTTTAATTAGCAAAAAAACAACTTCGCACGTGCAACACACTTTTTTGTTCATTTCTTTCCCGTTTTTGCACGACTACGACGTGAAAATGCCTAATTTCGCGTTTTATGGAGGACGTAAATAAGCAACGACGAAATTTTATTTCTCTTTCTGAGCTTGAATATGGTCCCTTGAAATTCAGCTTTAGGAGGGTTCGCCTACAGTTGACAAAGTAGGTGGGTAGGAATAATCGCTATAAAGACTGAAAAAAATAAACATCAAACCAGAAATTGCTCTCTTCAAACTGTAAATTATAAATGATCCTGAGAGAATATTCAGTGTGTTAAGGATTTCCCTGCTCTACTGTTAGCTCTATACAAGAGAGGAAGGGCGATTCTTTTTTAATTTCGGTTTCGCTGACACAGCTTTCGCAGAAATCTCGCTGTAGTCGTTTTCGTCGACAAAAGGAATAGCAAAATCGCTCTCCGCGTCTTCCCCCATTTTGTTCTGCGTCATTTCGTGGTGACGCGTGGCTCTCAGCGTGGGTCATCCACGCGGAACACATTCGCGCTATGTGATTGGCTGTGTATAATCCCCCTCGAGATCTGTGGTGTTAAAAATAACTCGAGACGAATTACCTATGGAATAGGGTGTATATGGGGGATGGCCTCTCTGTCCCCTTTATAGTCTCTTGCAAAGAATTAAATGCAAGTGAAATAACGTTTTGTAGTCCGCATTCAATCACTTTGATGCAACACTTAAACATGCTTCTGATTTGCTGTTGATGGACACCAGTCACAATGCGCATGACGGGCTAGAAACAAAAGTAGGCTCGGAATTAGGCGAAAAGTAGGCGCGATTTCATCACTGATCGTTACTATGAACCTTTTTTAACTTTAGGTTGTAAAAACAAGGTGTGTTTGGTGGAATTTTCAAAAAGGTAAGTATGACTTAATGTTGTACTTCAAAAAAGTCGTGTTGATCCTCGTTGACTACCTTTTGAAGCTTTTAGAGAAATAATGTTTATACTCCCTTATAAATAACTTCAAGAGTAAGGTCTGAGGATAGTTTGGGCACCCGACAAGTTATTTAAACGGCGGTATAATGTGAGGTGAATTACCTGTCTTGAACTAGCGCTATTAATGCTACAGGAAAGGCGTAATTATCATTTACAATTCCCTGTTACAATTAGGGTCTTTGGATACTACTTTCTTCACTGTACTGGTTTTCTTCTGTTAGACAATTACAATTATAGGTAAATATATTGATCATTGCAGAGGATTTATTAGCAGAAACCTCCTGATGCCCTCTTCTATTCTGACGTTTATAGGTGGTTGGTCGACTGCAGGTTGTTCTTTACGAGGAATAGTTAATGATACTATTATTTGTGAGTGCGATCACATGACCAACTTTGCAGCCTTAGTGGTAAGTAATTTTTAAAACTTTTATATATAGCAGCACTTTGGCACTGGGAAAAATTAACCTTAATGTCAGTTAAGTTTCCTAGTGAAGCGACTTTCTTGCCACCCCAAAAAATCATCATTCCAATTTTAACGGTGAGACTCCTGACTCCCGCCGAAGGTCTTGAGTCTAAAAGAAGAGTAGTTTAAACGGATCTCAGTCTATTAGCTCCAAAGGTGATTCATAGTGCACCACACTCTAAGCTAGTAGTGGAAAAATAATACGAAAATATTAATTACCACTAACATAAGCCAAATGGGGTGCTGATTCATTACTTACTTAAGATATCTAACATGATATGGCTCTGTTTTTCACACAGGATGTTGATGGCCCGTCATCCAAAGCGTGCGGTGAACATTCCAAGGTGTTATCACTCATCAGCTATATCGGATGCGTATTGTCTATTTTGGGTCTATCGCTGACCATTATTACATTTGGACTTTTCAGGTAAGATTTCTTCACACCTAAGACAAGCGTGTACAGTTATATTTAGAATACACAGTTCTCATCTTTTAGTAAGTTATTTTCCATTTTCGTCTTTGTGGAACAATTTTACATTTTGTTTTTACAGGAAACTAAGAAATGATCAGATCGCCGCCAAGATATTGCTTCACCTGTGTGCCTCGCTTCTATGTGTGCTGATTGTTTTTGTGTCAGGGGTGGAGAGGGGCAGTGTATCTGAAGACGCCTGTCGCATTGTAGCAGCACTCGTTCATTACTTCCTACTTGTAGCGTTTCTATGGATGCTGATCGAAGCGTACTTCATGTATCAGGCTTTTGTCAAAGTGTTTAGAGACTATGGTGATTACGTCATGTGGAAATGTTCCGCCCTGGGGTGGGGTAAGTCAAAAACTGCACACCTCATTAACTGCCTTGTTTCCAGACGTCTCTCTAGCCATGAAAATTTGCCCGCAAAGGAAGGCGGGAATAGAAAAAGGGCTTCGCCTGTTATCTGTCTTCTTCCCATGGTCCCTCGCGCTTCGTAAACACTCAGTCGTGCTTCGCGCTCGTCTTTGTCCGCCACCAAAGTGGGAAAACGAAGCGCTTGAGGAGGAGGCAGCCTCATTAACATCTTTTCAGACCGCAGTCTCTTTGCGGAACGACGCTGAATGGTGTATTTCACCTTTCACATAACTATAAAAAGGATAAAGAAATCAATTATTAGTAGAAGAATCGCAAAAACTACGAGTAAGGTTTTATTGCCTCTTACGCTGGTATTTTAATTTCTTGACTTGATTTTCTTTTCAGGTCTGCCATTTATCGTTGTAGTAGTCACTATTGCTGTGGATAAAACCAGCTATGGCGGAAAACACTAGTGAGTATGACAATTAACTTGCGCTAAGGAAAATAAAATCAAGGTTATCTGATGTACGTGTAGCTTTCCTTAAACCCTAGTTGATACTTGTCATACTCAGTTATGATGTAGTTTTAAGACTGCTGATACTGGAATTGCTGATAATCGATTTGTTCAGTTAAAATTGTCCTTATAACTACAAAAGAACAAGAACGCTCTTAAAAGCGTTAAGTCGAGCTTGCTTAGAGATAAGATAAGAAATTAGGAGGCGATTAATTCTAAACGCTAAAGGTTTTTCACGTCCTACTTTATCGACGTGCCAGTATTCTTCAGGATATTTGCTTTTTATGTCGTATTGCACGAATTGTTTCTGAACTGATTGAGTACATAAATACACGAAAATCAAGGGCCTCGATTCTAGAGAAACTACATCATTGCAAAAGAGCAAAACCGTGATGAACATGGTGCGTCATTTCATCATAGCCGAAAACAAACCGCATACTCACCACAAGGATCGTTTGCATATAATGAAAATTTACAACAACAGACCAGTTAACATCACCATCGAAGTTTTCTCATTAAGACTCTTCTTTTTTTTTTATCACTGAAATATTCACTAGTTCCAAAGTAATAAGCGCTTTCAAGCGACAGAATTCGTGGACCGACCCCAGCCGGAAAAGCTCGACACCTTTCGCATTAGTCTTTCCTAAGAGAGAATATTTGTCTTTCCTAAGCTTTCTTCACAAACATACATGACTCCGGTCACGCCGCGATTCTTATCCCCAGTTTCCACGGTCTCCGCTAGGAACGCCTGCTAACATGACTACCCTTTTGGCGTCCATACACGAAACGCTTGCCTTTTGAGAGTCTCCTTGCTAAAGCAAGCTCGATCAAAGAGTGTAAATTTAAATTCAAGCTTTGAATAACTGTGGTCGTCAGTTCGCGGTTCTTCTGAATTCATCACTCGCATTTCAGTTTTCAATACAATTCAACTTCATTAATGCATCGAAATGCAGATCGCACCCTATCACTTCAACACGGGTTACAACAGCCTGCAACAGATTTAGAGCCCTGGGGTTTAGTTTCGTCTGTGGCGCAGGCTAAGGTTACAAGCATATAAGGTAGCTGGATTCTGAAAAGAAAAACCAAGCTTGACTTGAGAAATCCGCTCCAAAGATTTAAAGTTCTCGAAAAGCAACCTCTTGCACTAGAGTGAAATGTCTCTCTTTTTGAGTTCTATTCAGAAATCTACACTACTTCTCAACGTACTGCTAGGAAAAACAGAACTCTAACTCTCGCGCTTTGCTTTTAAATCTACCCCTCAGGGAATTAGGGAACAACACGTTACAACTGGGAACCGATTTAAACTATAACTTACAATAACTTTTATTAAAGCCTCAAAAAAATGAGTGAGACGCTGAAAATTTCGCCATTTTGAACTTGTCTGATTCTGTTGATACTTTAGAGAACTGATTTAACATATTCAAACTCATTTAAGCGGTAAAACGTTAATGCCTCTTCATCGAGAATTTCCTGCAGTTCCGCGCTCTACCAAGTTTCAATGCAAAACCATAAAAATCTCGGGACATTGCGGCCAGTACAACTTTGAAATGACTTGGGCTGGTCCAATAAAGACTGTAGAGGAGCCTTTACAAAAAAGAAAAAGGGCAACTACTATATATCAAATCGTTCAAGAGCGCTTTTTTTCAAACGAAAATCTGTGTTAAGTAAAGCCATTAAAGCCCTAATTTCTGTGGAAAGGCCCATATCTTGGTCCACCTTGAATGCTCGAAAGCTCCTCTCTCAAAATTCAATTATGTTATAAAACTCACAAATTTCTTTGTTTATTTTGCAGTTGTCGTCTGGGAAGCATGGCATTTTACGCGACTTTTGTCGCACCAGTTGTTTTGGTCATGTTTGTCAATACAATAGTCTTCCTTTTAATCATGTACAAACTCGCCACGCGTCCTCAGAACGCAGCTGATCCTGACCGCGGTAGTGAAGGTCTTCTGAAGATCAAACGAGCCTTTGGAATTCTTATTTTGGTCGGTATCACGTGGATGTTTGGTTTCTTTGCAGTAGCTGACGTTCGTCTTGTGTTTCATTACCTTTTTGCTATCTGCAACAGTCTTCAGGGTTTTTCAATCTTCGTTTTCTATTGTGTTATACAAAAGAAAGTACGCGAGTGTTGGTGGGCTTTGCTAACGTGTAATTTGCGCACTCTTGAGAAGTCAAAGTCGATGTACTTAGATTCTTATGACCGTCGGCGTCTGTCGTCTGCCAGCAGAATTCAGTTGGATGCCATGCGCACAAGAAGCAACACGGCACTTTCCCAGGTCAGTAAGTGTTAGGTACGCTTCGCTGGGAAAACGTCCCATATACGGTGTACCAATAAAGACAAAACTTACCTTTCAAATTTGAGATCCCACTATAAGGGTTTGGTTGGGAATCGAATTGAATCTGATTTACTTGTATTGCAATCTCACATTGTGCGTTTTAGTTAAGAAATTTCTTACCGTTCACGACTAAGCCGTGAGTACATTTGAAGACTTGCACATTTTCACATTTTCTACTCGCTGTACACTTTACTTTTAATGTTTGGTAGCCCTACATGCCACCGTTTGTGACTTTTGTATTAAATGTTTTAAGTGATGCTACTATTATAGGATAGAAAGAGGATTACAAGATAATACTAGCTTGTCAATTTAATGTTTCAGGAATGATATGATACTTTTTTTTTTTTCTGCCCTAAAAGATTCTTCCAACACCATTACATCGAGCAGCCTCTTCCCCACCAGATGTTGTTCTTGACTGTCATCACCACAACAACATAGTGTACGATGATGATCAAGCTCATTGTGCTATAACATTTGAATCACTGAGTGATTATCAGCTGGCTGACTTGTACGAAAGCCAGTCGATTGAAATAGAGGACTCTATGGAAGAACTTCCCAGTGTTTTGTCACATATGCCTGGCTCCAGATCACCGAGTTTGTTATCTCAAGGAACACCTTCCCGGAATGCTAGCGTGCGCAGCTCACGAGCATCGGCAAATTCTCTACAGTCCACACCTAAAATGTTAAGGTTGCCTCATATCCATGCTTTGCGTCCGGTCAGAGTTTTTAAAACCTCCCCTGAGAATTTGCCACATAATAAAGAGACTCTCAAGAGAACAGCGTCACATACTCCTGACGCGACGAGGCCAACTATGTGCTCTTTACTAAGAAGAACTAAATCCGCCAGCGGCTCATTAGACGACTTAAGACAGAGTGTTGACTTAAGTATAAGCAGTGACCAGACTTCATGCGAGTCGCTGAGGATAGAAGGCTGTAATAAAACAAAGAAACACTATCTTCGTGTCCCTGTTGACAATCTTGGTGAGTATGTACATTAAAATGTAGTTACTCGATCTCACACCCCTTCCTTACTTGTATTTTCGTACAAAGAGCAATGCCTGTTAGAATTGCCTACGCAAAAAACTTGATGATTTTGATCCTCTTATTAAAACGATCAGTGCGTTCAGCGAAACAACTTTCATTTCAATTTTTGGAAACCTCAACGTTTAATGTCTGTTTTTTGGGTGTTTGAAATACTATTGAAAGGGTATATAATTCAATTAAATAGTAATTAGTGAACTCCGATCCAATATCAGTATCCCTAAACATTAATAATTCATGATCTGGGAAACAAAGGATATTGAGATTCAGCCATTTTTAACCTAAAATTTATTTTGACCTTCAACATAAACAGAAAAGAAAGCGCGAGCTTTATTTGATAAGACAATGTTTAATAGCAATAGGTGTATTATACAGTAAATTCATTTTATTTTTCTCTTGTTGTTAACAGTTTCTCGTTAATTTACATTTGATAATGACGACATGCTACCTTCGAAACGTCTCGAATTTTTCGTTATTATTGTGATGTAAAAAAGAGAGAGAGACAAAAGCGAGACTCAGTTTTTGAATTTGGACATAACATAACGTCAAGTGCTACGTGCAGCAATGTTTTTTACCCTCACTATTGACTTTTGTTTTAACATGGAGACTTAGTTCAGTTTCATGAACGTCTGTTGTCGGGCTTTCCATTAATTGTTAGTATGTTCCAAAACCTTGATTGGCCAACTTCCTTTCTTTTAAGCTAAAAGTAGTCTTAAGAGAAAATGCTGTTGTATTTCCTTTTTCTTAGTGAGTTTTCCTTTTGTCCTTTTCAGGTTCGCAAATCGTGGGTCCACTTAGAGGTTCAATCAGAGGATTTGTAGGATATGTTGAAACGACTGTTGAAAACTTCGACTTGTTAATTGACTTAGAGAGGCAAAGGACCTTGTCCCCTCCTTGTGCCTCGTCTCCTGAAGCTGAGAGACTTTAGTTATCTTAGCTTAAGCCTCTTGATCTTATCTCCCAGCGCTGAAGAAAACTTCAGGAGAAAAATTCCTGTACTCCTTTACGCACAGAGATTAAGCTGGATCATTTTACGTTTCCGGGAAACTGCCCACCTACCCCTCCCCTAAGCCAACATTTTGCCCTAAGTAAGAACTAAGTGTTAGGGGAGGGGTAGGTGGGCAATTTAAAAGAAACGCAAAATAATTGATAACCTCAAGGTAGGACGGCGCCGTTACATTAACAAGAAATGCCTAGTGTTATTTACTACATACTTCCCTTTTTAGCAATAAAATGGAAAATGGGGGAGAATCTTTCACACTCATCACATTAATGTCAGAAAACGCTGGATGCAGCTCCAAGATCGTGCAGCAGTCTTTTAGTGATTACTGTTAACAAGATTACTGTTAACAATTCCAGACTCCTACCTTTGTAGATGGATTCCATTTCTTTGCGAGAATTCAAGATAATAATAACAACAATTAAAAACAACTTTATTTCACATCAGACAGATTAAGCTAATCGGGGCGGGGGTGAAGTGGAGAAGAAAGAAAAATAAGAAAAACTAGACGTAGTAATAATCATAAGCAGCGAAAAAATTCAATTTTAGACTGATACCCTGCACTGCGTAATTATTTGCTAAAAATAGAGAAAATTATTAAATAAGTTACATCTACTTTTAGGAGCTTAAGTGTTGTCTTTGACTTAAGGTGTCGAATTTAACATAGCCCTCCCTATCCAAGAGAACATCGGAAAAAAATCCGCGTTTTTTCTCTTAAAAGCAGATTAAGTAGTGTCTCTCCGGTCGGAAGAAATTAGGAGATTGCATACCTTTGCCCCAGATTTTGAAAATTAGCGTCTGAAAATTTCTAATTTATTTTCTCGCTGATAATTATTACCTTTAGTAACATGCATGGTATTGTACCAATGAATTTCATTTTACCAATTATAATAAATGAAAAGGCGGAGGAGCAAGTCCCTTCCGATTATTGTGCATCAAATTCGCTACACGGAAAAACAGGAAGACGGAGAAAAAGAAATACGTCTGTTCGTCAGCGGATCTCTCGTAGATTCTTTGGTTTCAGGTTGCATTAGAAAAAACTATGAAATATGCCAAAAAAATGGACTCTTTTAATACGTTGACCCATAAGAACGAGGCGGGCCTCATTTTTTTCACAGAAACACCACTTGCCAACTATATCTTTTCTAGAGGCGCATCAGTCAAGAATTCCAAAAATACGGATTTAGATTTGATGAAACTCTCGAAACGAGGATTCTTTAACAGTTTTGGATTCAAATTTTGGTTTCCCATAAATGCGCACCCCCAGGTCTCAAGCCACGTGATGATAGTTTAGGTGATTCCAAACATACATTCCTTGAATAACAGAGAAAGTGTATTACTTTCCGATCAAAAATTCTAAATTATCGAAAAATTGTTTCTGTTTTCTTTGGCTCATACTTTCTTAAAATGACTTTTGCTGGTTTTTGGTCTTAACAGCCGTACATCGCATAGGTTGAAGCAAAACCTTTAACCCATACCCTCCCTCCCGATATGTTCGAAAAAAGTTAATGAACAGACTGCCTTTCTTTCGAACGAAATCTAGTAGTGAAGAAATGTAATCGAACTTACGATAAAAACCCTGCCAGCAGGGCGTTTTTTTCGCCTCGTCGATCTTGGCGTAATCGACAAAGAGTCTGCGTGAATCGAGTTAGATCCTCATTGAGCATGCGTGCCATGGTGCTAGGAAACAGTTTCAAACTCAGGCCTAATAGCCGTGCGCTTGGTCTTGCGGGCTCAGTTATGACCATCGTTTTAACAATTAATGGATGCTCGCACTCCCGGGGTTCTATCTAGTATTTATCGTTTGGGGGAGAAGTCCCGAGTGGCCGAAGGCCACGAGCTTTCTAGGGGGGTCCGGGGTGGGGGGGGGGCAATGAATGAAATGAATAGGCGCTGAGATGCAATCTGGTGCATTTTGAGACACAATTTTGAGAAATGTTACAGTGTGTGCACTGACCTCGCCGCGTCTGGATTCTTTTTCCGTTTTTGTTACTTATATACTAGCTGTAATGATAACAGAATTTTTGGGGGGGAAGCTGGGGATTTTTTGGGTAAGCTTCCCTTCCTCAAATACCCTAGATAGAACCCTGATTCGAAAAGCAGTTTGACGAGAGCGATCCTAATTTGTTGAAACACTTCCGGAAAACACAACATAAATTAACTTTGTCGTTCATAAATACACTTATTACTCCCCTCCCCTTCCCTCAATGTTGGTTTCACGCGTTTGCTTGGGCATAGACATCTTTCAAATCAACATTGAAAGGAAAAAGAAGGGAAAGCTCCCAAGCGTCTCAACAATTATAACCAGGATTGTAGGCCAGAAGTTCGGGCGGCGGCGACTTCAGAGGCTTGACGAGATTCATGCAGATCCGTTCTTTTCTCCTTCGCAATCAAGAGGAAGACAAGAGGAGGCTCTACTGGCAGGATGAAAAATAAACTAAAATTGCCGCAAAAAGAATTAACTAAGTTGTTGCAGCGCCCAAAGTCAACAAAATCTCACTGAACCACTTATGATAAAAATAAATTCAAGCTCTTAAACTGGAACACCCTGTAGCTATTGATTAGCATGAATTTCTCAGATTCTAGAGGAAATGTTGAATCGCTGCCTCATTGGCCTTTAAACAAAACTTAACAAACACCAGTGGTCACACCACCAGATACAAGGAAACTACAGTGAGCTTTATTTCAAATTTGTATCTTTTTTTTTTAACTTGGTGTTGTTCTTATTCATAAGTTTAATCTATAGTCAACGCACTCTAAAACAGAAACCTTTGGGATAGGAACCATGTGTCCCTCTGAAAGAGATGTCTATCTTATCTGAACAGTATCAACCAAAACAAGAGTAAAGAAATTGAGGCAAGGATCAACTCTATTTGTATGTTCGTTTTAGGTGAGCATGGTGCCCGAATGAATTACATCAAGAGAGAACTGACTTTAGTTTGCTACAAGAATATATCTGGCTGCGGCACCAGACGGGATAAGCTCTGCTTCCAGATCGAGTTAAAAATTAAATCATTATTCTGCTGTTTGTTTGAGAGAAGTGGTTTACTGCTTAACAAGCACCATTCCGGTACTCACAATAATGGTTATAATTGTTTTCTGCTGTATACCTATCTGTTAAATATTTCAACAATAAGTGTATTCGTAGTCAAATAAAAAGAGAAAATGGCCTTACAGGTCGGTAGAATTTTTTACTATTTGTGAACTAAATATAGAGGTAAGTTAATGTTTGACAGCTTTGCAGTCCTTCAGGTTGAAGAAGTAGCCTCGTTTTGGAGAGCTTTTGAAGTAGCGTACTCCCCTATACGTACCGTCAGTTCCAAGTTTATTATCAGTTAGCAGCTCGACTCCGGCTATGAGGTGTGCATTGTCAAGTGGCAATTTGGGTAAGTGGCCCACCCATCTCAATTTCCCATTTACCAAATCCTTATTGCCAGCCAAACGGCAAGCCACACTCGAGCCAATCATTTTTGTGAAACGCTTGTCAGTCTCAGGAAGTTTAGGTGCCACGATCTTCTTTACTTCTTGAGGTGGTTTCTTCAGAGCAGGAACTTCAGTGCGTTTCTTGGGTTTTACTAGAGAAGAAGGCTTGGTGTTATTTATCAACTGTTTTGGTTTTGGTTTGGCTGGTGTTTGTAGGTCAGGAGGCCTGGGTACCATTTCCTGTTTGACATTAGTCTTGCTTTCGTCACCACTCCCCTCACCATCAGCAACAGACTCTTTCGTTTTAATGACAGCAGTAGATCCACCATCTCGGTCGGTTTCATCGTCAAGTAGTTCATTCTCAAGTGACAGCCTAGCTCTTTGGTAATAAGAGGTGAAAAATAGAGCAAAACTAATTGTTAAGCTTTCTTGAATTACAGTTCATGACAGTTGCTCTCAAGATTCTCAAGGTGGCTCGGCTGTGCTTTTTAGGGGCAATCGGCCTATTCTTTCTGCAAGTTTGAGAATTAACTACATTGCTGGCCATTACCAAACATAAAGGAAAATGGTAAAATTCGTTTAAGCCACCTAGTAAATAGATTTGAGTTTAGCGAAATTAAAAGACAATATAACAGTAATATAAATGACAAAATTAAAGTTTTAAATCGAAAATGCAGTGTTCTTTTAGAACAACTTTCTTAAGTACAAGTTTCCTCTGTGGGATCAATGGTCAGTGTTCCACAATTTCATTCGTAATGTCCACATCGAACCCTTTTTTGCTCGTAGCTGTCTTCCTCACAACTATTAGTAGCCTTGAAGTAACAGTTTTTGATATACCACCGTCTCAGCCCCCGTTCGTCCGTCCGTCCGTCCGTCCATCATGCCGTCGGTCGTTGGCATTCGTTAGTCGTTATCTTAAGCCTCGTTCCCAGGGTCTCTTTTTTCCATCCCCTCCCGTTCCAGAGGACCCTGGGGAAGAGTTTGTTCACCCCCCCAGTCTGGTTCTGGAATGTGTTGGGCGTCTTCAGCCTTTTCTCGGTACTAGTTACAGAATCCTTACGTGATAGAAAGGATGTTGTTGAAATCAGAAATACACCTTGTTCCAAAATGGCGGCAATACTACTTATATTTTATAGTTATGTTAGTAAGGTATTTTTTGCTTCGATTTCTTCTGCAGAATTCAAGAGAAATCTCATCTTGAAAGGAGGCATCCAGGGTTAATTATAATAAAGACAAAAGTTGCCTCCATCTTAGAATAAGGTGTATAGAGGAGGTCTTACGTTTGCGTCAATGTTTCTAAAAAAGGACTCTCTCAAGCGGATGAGGTCTTCTTTAGCTGAAGTAAGCGTAAATTTAGAATGGTCTTCGAATTGAGGCCTTTAGAAATACTCTAACTTTTATAATATTTCCAAAAATCCACACACCTGTCGTTCATCCCGGGATGCATAACGAATTTGTGCGGGGACTGTTCTTCTCTGTCATTGAGACTTGGTCTTGCAATGCGTTCCCTTGGATCGTCAGCCTGAGTCTCTTCTGTCATATAGCCACCAGCCTGTCACAAAAGAAAAACATTTGTCCAATCATCTGTCATGATCTTTGACTACAAAGCCCCTTATCAAGACAAGCGCAGTGTATTAAATTCCTGGCTGAGCCTGTTCCGTAGCTTAGGGAAAATTGACATCGTCAAGGTATGAACAGTTTTATTGTCAGCCGGAGAGTGTGTTAGATCTGCAAGTTACAAGTAATCTCGATTAGTCCTAGGTATGTGCTTTTTTGATAACCGCACGATACAGTTATAACTATAACTTTTCATACTCCTAAAATACACTGGGAGGAGCACTCTGCTATATTGCGCGGCTATGAAAGGTAAAGTTTCCAATAACCCAAATATGATGTGAAGTCTTGACGAACATATCTCGATTCCCTTTAATTTCTTTCTTCACTGATAGCACGAACCTCTGAAGATGTACTAGTCACAAGGGTGTTCATATTAGCAAAAAACCAATAGCCAACGCTTTAAAGGTTTTAGGAAAAGATTGGTGACAAAAGATTAGTGGCACAAAGCTTTCTCATTATCGTTGCGCTACACTGTCCAATCCGTTACGTGGGAAAGTTCAAATAATTAATTACAACTTATATTAGGGTAATACTTGCCATAACTCTTTCCAACAACTCATCTTCGTTTGTTCCGTACGAAGCTTGAGTTGTATCCTCCTGATTTGGCTTTAGAATGAAGTTAACTTTATGCCCTTCAAACGCGTGTAGTTCCACCAGGCGTGTTTGAGGCTGGTACCCGTCTGCTGAGACTGTAATTTCGTAGGAGCCTGGAACGAGAAGGCGCCAGTAGTCTCCATCCTTAGAAGAGGTGATGTCATGTCGACGATCAGCCACTCTGATGGTTGCACCAGAGAGAGGTTCGCCTTTAGTGCTTTTGACGAATCCACTCACGCCATAATGTACCTTCGAAACAAAACAAATTAAAAGGGTTAAATTGGTGTGCTTACGAATTCATGCGCTTTTAGACTACAGAAAACCTGACAGATCCTGACACGTCTAGGCATAACAAGTCCTAATTAAATTTTTATATAGTTATGTTCCCCTGTTAAACAGCTTGTATCACGAAAATTTCTACCTTTCCGATTGCAACAGTTAAAGCACCTCCATTTTGTCGTAACATTTGTTTAAATGTAACGGGTGATATCACCAAAACAGCGCGATAATGCTATTCGAGAAAACACCTAACCATGGCCGCTATTATTCACGTGAAACCTCAACATAGAACATGTAAGGTAGAAAGAAATGTCTCACCTGTCGTAGGAGCTCGATCAGAGGCTTTCGATTATCCAGCCAGTATTTCTGTAGTTCGCTGCTTTTTGGAAACCGATTGCATCCGAGTTCCAGCGTTATTTCAAAACAGTTTGAGTTGACGTAATTATAGTCTTGCATACCCCCAGACAGGCTGGCCCAGCTGGCACCATTCGTGATGCCGTCTATGAAGTGCTCTTCCTTTTGATCTGTACAGTTCCATTTGGGATTTGCCAAGTGCATCACTGGATGCTCCTGAGAAAGCAATGATTAAAAGCATTTTTGAGAGGAAGCGTTGTTTACAATATAATCAGCATTCAATGGATCATAATGAAAACTAGGTTCTCTATTAGGTCGAATCTTTAAAATTGTTTAGTTTTATGGTTCCTCTCTTCCTTGGCCCTTAACAAAAAAGCCGGCGGGGCCCAGCGAATAGCTACCCTATGCTAGGACACTGCATCGATCAACAACGGAACAAAGGAGATTCAGTTGTTAGCTGATGTTAAACTCTTATTAAGAGCCTTTTTATAGCTACTGAATTTTAGTTATTTTGACAAATAACTCATTAAAGAAGAAATGTACGTAATTAAAGTAATAAATAAAAGTGAACATAATTAAAGCAATTTTCTCAGGATCTTCACATCTGTACCAATATACCACCGAAAATTTGCTCTTTCACTAATGTAAAAACGTTCGAAGCAAATCACATTTTCATTTAGTTATTCATAAACGAAGGCAAAGTGTTCAATAGTTCTTTTTTAGGTGTTTGAATTTTGTTAGACACTGTATTTTGCTAATTATTTATTAGCATAGAATTTTGCTTTAATTGATATAGTAATTTTTTTTGTTGATTTTCATATCTAATTAGCATATTTAGCGGTGATCTGGTTTTATAAAGGATTTATGACCCCTCCACAGATCATTCATTTTGTTTCATTTATTTTATTTCCCATACGAGCGTAAATTAATATAAGTTTCTTGACGGAAAGAGTTACTAATGTGAAAATAATAGGAGTGGGCCTTATTGATTAAAAATGCAATCTTAAAGGGCCAAGGATTTGAGGCTGATTCATTCACATCTTTACTGGTGGATGACAAGCCCCAAGTTTACATTATACACAAGGAGTTCTGGCATAAAGGATGCTTAAGCTAAGTATGAAGTCGAAGTTGAGGTGGAAATAATGTATTTCGCTCCCGCCCTTCTCTTGTTTCCGTTCATCCACCTGACCCAATCTTAAAAATTGGCAGGGGGATTTGTCTGCAAACTAACAACAGATTATACCTGTGAGTAAGACTTTGCCAATCGCCTGAATACATCGTCATCAGGTGTGGCGCTGTAAAGGCTTTGACCTGACGGTGAATCGTCATATGGATACAGAGCCACCAACGCACCACTGTGTAGACTAGCAGAAAGAACAAAGGGATACTGTTTGATCCAGTCCATTACTGCCTTCACCTCCACCTGTGGCGGACCAGTGGTACTGGGAAAGAATTGATCCGGGAAATTTCGATTCAAATCGATTCCATACGCATTCCTCTTTCCAGTCAGTTTGTTTCCTTTTCCACGCACGGCCGCCATCTCGTACCCATCTGGGTTCATACTAGGTAGAATATGGATCCTAGTTGCGTCAACTAATCCCTTAGTCTCGGTATTATCCACATAGTTTTCACAAAGATATTTGATCAGCTGTAGTAACAATTCCCTGCCTAATGCCTCGTTACCATGAATATTACCTACATACTTGACTTCAGGTTCGCCCGGCTCGTGTGTTCCAGGATTATCTGAAATCTCCATAACCCATAACTTGCGATTCTGAACACTGTATCCAATATTGTAGAGTCTTGTTATGTCCGAGTACTTTGTAGCAAAGTACTTCAAAAACCAGGTCATCTCCTCGTAATCATGATGTTTAAACTCTTCCACATTTGCGATATCGATATTATTCTTGCTTCGCTCGTGCGTTGTGTTTTTTCCTTCGGCGCCTCCGTGAAATATGTCCAGCACTCTTTTAAATAACGGTGTACTGTTTACACAATGAAATGAAGACAAAATTAAACCGAACAAAACAACTGAAGAAGGGAACATACTGATAGAATTCTAATCAGGGATAATTGTTTCTTTTTTCGCCGATATCACACGCGGTTCTTGTAGCGATAAAAAGCCTTCACCTTGAAATCAAACTCCAAAATCCGTGTTAGATCATTTTGCCATTAACTGAAGGTTATTCGTTTATTTATTGTCTTTATTTAGGTCTTACTTTGCTCTTACAGGGCGTGGTTTGTAACAAATTATCCTTCAAACCCAATTATACGAGTAATTTATAGTGTTGACTAATTATTTTGCCTTAAATGACACATTGTTGATAGTTTGTTGTATTTTTTTATGAGAAACACGCTTAGCTGTTGGTAGGGTTTACCCATCATTAAACTTCTGTAACCGAGCAAAAACAAAAAATAAACTTGCAGTGATATAAATTTTACAATTCGATTGACATTTGAAATACTGGTCTCAAGAAATTGTAGCAAACTCTTCAAAAAGAGATTAAAACGTGACAGCTTATATCTGTATTAAAATCATTTGAGAGGTTTTTGTGTTTTCACAGCTCACCCGGAAGTAGGCTTTGCGCTAACAGGTGACGGGTAGCAAATTTAACCTGTCGCTTCGCAGCAGGTTGTTGATAATCGTGATAATTGAAGTTTTTATTAACATTGAAATATAAGGGATCAAGATAGGTGTTTACCATAGCCACAACGTTAAGAAAATGGGTATGTAAATCGTAAAAAAAAAATAAAGAGGAAAAAAAATCAACAGTGGCTTTCATATATGCCTCAGTAGTTTTCAATCAGGCGAAAACTTCTGTCTTTGTTTGGAACGAAGCATGGCTAGCATGGATCATAGTTTTAGTGAGGCCGTGATGCGATATGCAAAATGCACATCATTGTTAAAAATTTGTAAGGTGTGGCATTATTCTACTGTTACTCCTAAAGCTGATCTCAGTAGCAAATGAACAAGTCTCTCAGTGACTGTTCGCGGGAGAGGCATTCGTTTGAATCTTTTTAACAGTGCTCCTCAAAAGAAACACAGCGATGGCTTACTTTAAGCTGTTGGCATTTTTTGTGCTTTTACAAATTTTGGCGTTTGCTTGGGGAAAGCCTCCCGATAAAGGAGCTCAGAAATTTTCGGTTTCCAAAGATGCGAAAGGCGAAACCAAGTCGAATTCTGCCAGGCAAGAAAACACGAAATTGAGATCTTCTGCAACCGTTAAAGAAGTCAAGCAGAAACCTTCAAAAAGTTTAGTTAACGTTAAAGGAAGCAACGAAGAGCTTGCTAAAGCAACAGGAGAGGAACTGGAAGCTGAATCTAGCGCAGACGGCGAGATCCTGGAGAAAAACCACAGCTTTAGACATCATAACTATGAGGAAATGACATGGCTGTTGAAGGAATATTCCAAGAAGCACAGCAAAATAGCACGCTTGTACGACATTGGCAGTTCAGTACAAAACCGTAAACTTTGGGTTATGGAAATATCCAATAATCCAGGTGAACACGAGCCAGGTGAACCCGAGTTTAAATATGTAGCAAACATGCATGGAGATGAAGCGATAGGACGAGAGATGTTAATTCATCTAATAAAGTACCTGTGCAAAAATTACGGTGTGAACCCAAGGGTTACCAAGATCGTGGACACGACAAGAATCCATATTATGCCCAGTATGAACCCTGATGGTTATGAAATGGCCGCAACTCTGCCTGACCACCAGTGGAAAGCGCGTCCAAATGCGAACGGTGTCGATTTGAATCGAAATTTTCCCGATCAGTTTTTCCCCAGCACAAATGGACCACCTCAACCCGAAACTCGAGCTGTCATGAAGTGGATTAATTCCATCCCATTCGTACTGTCGGCCAGTCTGCACAGCGGCGCGCTCGTGGCAAATTACCCCTACGACGACAATCCCTCGGGACAGAGTGTATACAGCGCTACCCCTGATGATGACGTATTTAGACAGCTCGCGCGTTCCTATTCCGAAGCCCATCCCACAATGCATCTCGCAAACTCCCCATGGAAATGCAAACACATCCCACGCGAGCATTTTATCGACGGAATTACAAATGGCGCTAAGTGGTTCAGTGTGTCAGGAGGGATGCAAGATTACAATTATGTACATTCAAACTGCTTTGATGTAACGCTTGAGCTCGGCTGCCGGAAGTTTCCAAATGCGAGTGAATTACCAGAATACTGGCGCGAGAACAAAGAGGCACTCCTCAATTATATAGAACAGGTAAACTTGTAAATTATCCAGAAGAAGTTTCGTGTCCCCTGTAAGGGAATCTAAGACATTCTTGGATTCTGGATTCTACGCCTTGGATTCCAGATTCCAGGTACAGAATCCCAGTGAAACTAGGATTCTGGATTCCAATCGTTAATGGGAATCCAGATTCCTTGAGCTGTATTCCGGATTCCACAGACAAAAATTTCCTGGATTCCAGAATCCAGATTCCCTTACATGGGGCGACATTTCATTTAAGTTTTGTTACTGAAATCTTTGTCTGCCAAATATCTGTAACTCAATTTTCAGCTGAAAGAGTAAACAACCAAGCGTAGGATAGTCGAAGATTGTTCTGACAGTATCCCCGTATTTAATAGAATTCCATTGTACTGTCGTAATCCAATTCAACCTTTTGCCTTTAGGTTCACATAGGTGTGCACGGCTTTGTGAAGGATGAGGACGGCCAACCAATCAATGGAGCAAGAATATCAGTAAATAATCGCCGCCATGATGTTTTCTCTGCACGCGATGGAGACTTCTGGCGGTTACTAGTCCCAGGCTCCTATGAAATTACAGTTTCCGGACGGGGATTCGAGCAAGAAACAAAGTCATGTACAGTTCTGGTAAATAAAGCAGCCCATCTAGACTTCACTCTTAAGAAAATAAGAATGAGGGAATCCAAGCACACGATGGATGATTATAACTGGCCTCGGGAGAGAATTCTAAATGATGATGGGTACAGAAGTGAGCAAGTAAGACAAGCATGGGAAAACAGGGGCTACAATGATGAAAAAATGAACAATGATTATAATGATGCAGCTATGCGAAGAGAATATAACATTCGTGAAAACAGGGGAGGCTCCTATGACGAGTATGGACAGAAAAGCAACAGCTTTCCTCACCCGAAATGAAACTATGATTTTTAATAATGTTTACTTTCTTACATATTTTTGACTGCCTTAATGTCTCACACAGGTCTTGACAGCATTTTTCTGCAGCAGAAAAAGGATGTTAGGTCAATTAATAGTGACGTTTAGATTCGAGGCGAGAACGACTACGGAGCATTACCCTTAAGGGTTGTTTGACGTGTTCTCAAAAGATATATTGTATTGTATTGTATATATTGTACTTTTAATTCACCAGAAAATTTAGCACCATTATGTTTATTGAAGTCGGAAAGGCTCTCTTTCCATCGCATAATGATAAATTCTCTAACCGTTGATAACTTTTCATGCACCCAACGACATTCTCGCTAAAATCTGAGTAGAATTACGACGACTATCATGTTTTCTAGCGAAAGTGATGCTGGTTCTCTCGCGCGCACTACTTCAGTAGTGCGGAGAAGATCTCCTTTTTAGTAGTCCTAAGAATCTAAAGGTCTCTAATTTGTAGATAGGGAGCATATGCATCAACCACACGCGTTAGCCCGTCTTAAGCCTGGTTTCTATATGATCGTACCGATCGTCTCAGTCGTCTAAGATAATGTTCAGACAATCGAAACGATCCATATATGGAAACGTTACCTGGACGATCGCAAAAGACCCAGACCACTGAGACGACTTCGATTGCTTGGATAGAGTTGAGTTCTTGCCACACAATCGAATCGATCGTGTAGATTTTAAAGCGATCATATGGAAAGGCTCTCAGACGACTGAGACTATCTTGACGATCAAAGGCTATCCCAGAAATCTCCACTTATATTCCAGTAATCGAGAATAAATTCGGTCTGGACGGCGCTAAAGTCGAAAAAAAAATAGCAAAAAAATGTTTAAAAAAATGATACTATGTCTTCGTGGAACTCTACTAGCTTCTCGACGCCGCAAAATCGAGAGAAAAAGAAGATAGCAAGGCACGAGGTCCGCTCTCCGAATGAAAATTATCATGTTTGGCTTGTTTTCGAAACACGTGATAAAATTCTATTGTCTCACCCAGAGACATCGCTGACGAGCCCGCGTCTCTTGCCTTTGAGGCGATCGAGACGATCATATCAAAACTACCGATCGTCTCGAAACGACTGTGGCGATCGGGGTGATCCGGACGATCATAGGGAAACCAGGCTTTAGTTCTACAGGAGATGTAATAACTTGCTTGATCAAGTACATCCAAGTTACTATTTGCTTTCAGTAGTATACAAAAGGCCTCATAGAATTCTTGTGTGGACATGTCTTAAGAAACTACAACTGTCTGATGACACTGCTTTCTTAGTAAAAAAAGACCCTTCTTTTAATTCAGTAAAGTCTGGCCCTTAGGCTAATATATAAGACTTTAAATTTTTTCGGCACAATTTTAGAAACCAAACTATTGATCAGCGTTTTGCAGCGTTTCAGGCTATAGATAAGATAATTTTAATTTGAGTTTCGATCGAAACAAAATAAAGTTACAGTATAAAGGCATTACAAAAAATAAATGTTAACTGGACACTATTGCTTTTCCAAAGTGTTGATTTAAAATTATAGTTTAATTTTTCAGACACTTATTTCTCGTAATCCGTCTTTCCGAAACGGATTAAAATTTTTCTCTCGGTAATTAACTCTCACGAAATAAACGAACTTAGATGAATGTTCAAAATTAGCATTTGATTAAAAAGTAATTACGCCTGTTATCATTGGTTGTGTAAAGACAACAAATATCTTTGTAAATTGTTCCCGCAGGACTCATTTTACTGATCGACGATCAATATTTAACTAATGGCCGTAGATTTTCTTCTCCAAGTTTGTTCAATGTAATCTGATTAAAAGATTTGAAAAGCACTTAAAGTAGGGTCTTAGGCCAGTTGAACTTAGAATATAGCAAACCATCATTTTTTTGCCAAAATTAAGCTAAACTACTTTGCTTTGCTGATTGGTCGAAAAGATTAAGCACTGAATTGTGATAATGAATTAGATAATAAACTGATGATATAACTAATTAATGGTTAAGTGTATACTTGCACCATTAAAATGCACGTTTAAAAAACCACAATTTGCTTTGTAAGCAGCTCATTGGATGGTTTTAAAGCTTTATTTATGAGTTGCATCCGGGAATTGTGACAAACAAACATGATTTGCAAAGCAACTAAGGTAAAAGGCTGAAAAACGTGAACACACAAAGACGATGGATCTTAGGTTTATCAACTATATTTCAAGAGGGAGGTAGGTAGTGTTGTCATCATCGAGAGTCTATTAACATTAAGGTGGATTAATGAATAAATCTAGACCAGATTGATGTTGTACCTTCGATTTATTCACAGAAATAAGACAAGACAAGAGTTTATGATAACCAAACCAGATAGCTCAAAGCCGCCAAAGATTTCTCGTCTCCCCTCTGCTCAAAATATAGGGTAAGCTCTTTGGGAATAGCGATTATCCTTTGAATATGCACTCTAAGCGATATAAGGAGGGGCTCATTGACAGACCCAGCCTTTATATAAGTCGAATCTGGCGGTTTCAACTCATTTGAAACAAGTCATTCAAGACGGTTTAGTCATTCATACTCGTGCAGGATCATGTACCTAAGCCACAGAGCCTTCTTATCAGATTCGTTAAAATTAGAGAACCTAAATAGGACAATTATACAGAAAAAAAAAGGCTGGTGGTCAGTCCAGAACTCCTCAAACCCTCCCCATGACAGAGGCCAAAGATGGAATATATACTCCTATGGAAATATTTCATAATATTTCTCTTACACCAAGTTAATCTGCATGCAGATTCTGTTGGTAAAGCAAATCAGAATGTTAAAACAAATCAGGAAGTTGGCTAAAGTTTGTTTTCATTTTCGTCTGGATTTTATGGTGGCCGATAGGAACAATTAAACAGAATCACAAAACCCCAAACAGAATCACAAAATCCAAAACAGAATAATAAGGTAATAAGGTTTACCTTTAGAAGTTAAGACTCTAATTTAATGTTGCTCAGTAACCTGGCCCTTTCTTCTTTCCCTTCCCTCTAATATTTTGCCGGCCCGCAAAGCTAAATGACGTGGCATCCTAACAGCCAAATGCCTTGTCTCGTAAAAAGTGTTTCTTTCTCAGACCGAATGTTTGTACCCTTCACAACTCGCAGTTACTATATTAATAATGAAAACAGTCAGGGACTTTGCTGCCTTAAGGAGTGGACCAAGGAGTTTTAATCGGCGGAAACAAGCAAACAAATATTACAAAAATAACTGAAAAAAAAAAGAAGAAAACGAGAGAAAGAAAGGAAACGCAACAAGACGGCGATCTAATAAAATGATATCTTTGATTGAAAGCCAACTAAATAAAATCATTTCTGCCAGTAAAGGTGCCAAAAAGGTAGTGCTTTGGAAGGTGATTCTTTTTCTTTCTGCGTCTTCTTTTTCTGCCTGGTCAGGGACAAATATATATTCATATTGTGAAACCCTGTAAATAGTACCACCATTGGACCATGAAAGAAATTCCTGCTCGCTTCAACGAGGTTGTATTGATAACGAGAGATTGGTCTTAAGGTGGGGTTCCACGTGTACCATTATCAGTATACTATCAGACTTACGTTCATTGTCTCTGAGGCACGGAAGACTCACTTCATATGTTAGTTGATATAACCGTTTTTCTTTTTTCCAGCAAAAATGTGAATGGTGACCCACTGTGTGGGTGGAAACTGAATGAACTCTGTCTTTTACGCGATGACCCAGGTATAATTTATTTCGTCCTCTTCCTCTTCCTCGTCCTCCTCATCCTCACCACCACCACCATCATTATCATCATCATCATCATCATCATCATCATCTCTTCTTCTTCTTCTTCTTCTTCTTCTTCTTCTTCTCCTTTGCCCATAGGGTTTTATAAAGTTAAAGATATTAAATTATCGATATAGATCATCTAACTGACAGAACATTGTAAACATTGCTAGGAATAGTGGAGTGGTTCGGTGACAAAGAGCATCAAATATTCTTGGATGGAAATAGAACAGGTGTGTTCATTTATATACATATTATACAGTGGTCACTGGATAGTCAGTAAATAACTTACAGCCGATCGAACTGCCATATATGGGAGGAACCTTTTTTACACTTGCCTTTCTTTTCTCATTGGCCAGAATGATCAATATTCTAAATATAGATGCAGTCTTTACCGATGCAATTTCTAATAATTAAAGAATCTCAGTTAAGGTGTGAAACAACAACAACAACAACAACAACAACAATCTTTACTGTGCTCTTGTTACAAAGGTGTAGAGTATTAAAAAGAAAAAATTGTGAAAGAAAAAGAGCACAGACACTCAGAAATAGCAAAAGCTAATCGCGCTGAGTGGCTGATCCATGCGGAAAAGTTACAGCTATATTGAAGTTGTTATAAATAAACAATTAAATGCACATAAAAACACACAAAGAAAAAATATTTAAGCTGTAATAAATAAACAAATAAATACAAAAACAAATAAACAAAGAAGCCCGTGAAAAAAATAGACAACTTATTATAATAATAATTATTTTTCGACACAGGATGGAGAAGTTCAATATTTGGCCCGGTGCCTCTTGGTGATCACGAGATTAACACAAGCCGCGATTTGACGAAAACGAAAGCGCAGAACAAAGAACAGCAAAGCAGCCCCCAGAAGGAAAATGATTTCATAAACCTGATGCTCAAAGACGTCGATTGGATACTTTCGTCAAATGAAAGAACATGCAACAGTAAAAACGAAGAAATAAATGTTAATGCAGATTTAATCCGATACCATGGTTACAATCCAGAGAGAAAACTCAAAGAAAAAAAATTAAAAGAGCCTAGGGATATAGACTGTTTCGAACAAATAAATCGAGTTTCCAAACTGCAAAACTTAGAAAGAAAACTTGCGGCAAGAAGAGCATTGAAGATCGACAGAGGAGTCGAATGTCTACGGCAACCTTCAACTAAAAATACTTTCAGCCCTTCGGTAATTTCACTGATGGGGGACACTGTGAAAAATGCTGCTCT